TAACAACGACACCGAATGAATGGATGTTGTGTATGTGTGTGTTGTATTGATCTGTGTGTGTAAATGTGCGGGCTTGTCCTCTCCAGAAACTTCTTCACTTACTACGGACGAACCTCCATTGCACCGACCATCATCTGACACAATGGGACAAAAACAAATTTCCCTTTAGTATTATCTTCAAATTGTCATCGGAACGATCATCATGAGACCACCATCTGAAACGTGCTGACGCCCACCACAGCCCACCTCTTATCATTCTGTAGACAAGTTTTTTTTTTAATTAGCGTGTTGGTAAATCAAGGAACAAAGGAACGAACGAATTAATGATTAACTGAATGATTGAATGATTGGTTGAATGAATGAATTAACTAATTAATTAATCAATCAATGATTTAATGAATGAATAAAATGAATCAATTAATGGAGGAATAATTTGAAAGATAGTGATAAAATGAATAAATGAATGAGAAAATAAAAAAAAAAGAAACTAAACCATACTTCAAAAATCATCGTTGTTTTCTTCGAATTGTCATCGGAACGATCATCATAAGACCACCATCTGAAACGTGCTGACGCCCACCACAGCCCACCTCTCATCATTCTGTAGAAAAGTTATTTTTATTAGCTTAGTAGTAAATCAAGGAACGAACGAATAAATGATTAATTGAATGAATGATTTGTTGAATGAATGAATGAATTAATCAATCAATGATTCAATGAATAAATAAAATGAATTAACGAATCAATTATCGTAAGAATACTTTGAATGATCGAGTGATAAAATGAACGAATGAATGAATGAAAAAAATGAAAAAACGAAATTAAACCTTACTTCGAAAATCGTCGTTACTGTACTCCATTGCACCGACCACCATCATCTGGTCGGCACACAAGATGTCATTCGAACTGCAGAGTGTCAGTCGAACAGCCAACGAGCTGATTCTTCCTACACCATCATCATCATACGTGAATCATCATGCGACCACCATCTGAAACGTGCTGACTCCCACCACTGCCCACCTCTCATCATTCTGTAGACAAATTTTTTTTATTAGCGTAGTAGTAAATGAATGTTAGAATCTTAGAAGCAAAAAATTATAAAATGGAAACAATGGCAAATAAATAATATCTTAAAATAATAAAAAAAGTAAAATGTAAAAAAAACTTACCGTCGTCCATTCGACAAAGGCAGAATGTTGAATGTCTTCTGGTTCCTACGTTGTCCTCCAAAACTGGTGCCAGTCCTCCTCGAGATTGTTGTTGAAACACAGCCCGTGTTGATGGAGAAAGAAAATTCTCATCAGAAAGCTTAGCGGTGCCTGCATCTCAAATTGCTTAATAAAAATAATCCTATTTACCTATTCAATTACCTTAGCTAATTTGTATTAAATTATTAATGATACGAT